TAATAGAATTTTCTTTTGTAATTCTTCATCTGTTAAAGCACATCTACGAAATTTTACCAACCAGTTCATATTTTGAAAATCAGATTCAGAACCCTTGTAAAAAATGAGTTGTGTTGTATGATTATCAATATTATCGTCTCATTTTCCATCAAATTCGATAATGAAATCGAGATGACGATAAAATTGACTAAAATCACGTTTATTATCATCCTTCCCAATGCATTGACCAAAATTATACGCTTCTTCAGGTGGTTTTGTACTTGTCATAAACACATATTTTGCTTTAAATGACGAACTAAATGTTCCATATTTAATTTCTACAGAACAAGTTGTATCGTTTAACATATTTACCATATCTGACCAATTAATTTTAGTGTAAAATTCGTCAAAAAAAACTATCTTTTGTCCATCGTACCCATTTCAATAATTTGATTTGCTACGTTGTTTCTTGTGCTTTTCAAAATATTTGCTATCGAATAATTCGCTAATAAGTTCAGTCTTTCCAGAGCCACCAGGACCATAAATATAAAAAACAACTAGACACCAACAACGTTCAATAGAATCTTTCTTTTTTTGAAGTAGCTTATCTTGCGCATCACAAATAATAGTGATATTCTTTGAATTTTGAGTAATCCATTGTGGATTTTTCTCTGCATACTTAACAATCACTTCTTCTTTTGATATTTTTTTTACAAGAATATCATCTATACATTCTTGCGCATCTTTTAATAGTTAATTTTGAGATTAATTCTTTTCCCTTTTATTTTAAACCTTTTTATTTTCTTGAATTGAATATTCATATGGCCCTGAATTTTTATCATATCTAGCCAATGTACGTTGAAAACAATATTCTAAAGTACACCATTTACATTCTGAAAAATCATTTAAATCCTCATAGCCATATCGACAATTTGTTAATCGTTTTTTATTGGAAGTTAAGATTGTATTTCTAATAAATTCATATTCAGAAAAACGTTCTACGTCATGTTCAACTTCTTTTCGATTATGAATAGAACATTTATTATAAGTTTTTTTACAGTAGCGTATAGAGT